CCCCAGGACCCCCTAGGTCCGCCCCATGGTTTCAAGGTAGAAGAAAAGGTCAAATATACTTATATGGAATTCTTATGAAAGATATTTCGAGGAAAGTACATGGTGCAACAATTAATGGGGGAGCCAAGACTCATTTAGTGGGGGCATGACATAATTATATAATTTTTTTTTTTTCCAAACAAGGCAATAGTGTATAAAGTATTTAAAAATCTTTAAGAAAATTATAATTCTTTTTATTGGTTTTCATACCTCGAAAATGACGTATAATGACCTCATTATCAATTGTGAATCCCTCGTCAAGAACGCAACGCAAAAAGTAAAATTATGAGAAAAAATGACACTTATAACTGTCATTTCTTTTGTAATTGTCTTATTCAACAATTGTAAATCATAGTCTCTTTTCAACATCATTCATACATTAGTATTCATGATTGAGGAAAAAGTTCAAAAAAATGAAAATTATAATAATTTTACTTATCAATGGGTAGCTTTCTACTTGGAACTTCAAGCACCGTCCATGCGGTGCACTACTACATAGGCCCGGCGCACCCCACCCCACCCCACATTAAAAAAGGTTATAAAAAGTACAAAATATTATTTAAAAGTTGGGAGATATATTATGAAATTCACTCAAATTATTATAAATCTGTTAGAATGAACTTAGCGAGCTTGAAAGTGGTGAAACTAATCTTCTTATAGTGGTGGAGAAGGTGGTGGTGGGGGAGTGGATGAAGTGGTGAAGATAGGGTAGAAGTTCTAATATAGGTGGGAGGTCTCGTGCTCTAGAATGTAATGAGCGTATTAAGGTAAAAGAAAAGGTCAAACTTACATATATTAGAAGACTTAGGAAAGATATTTCAAGCAACGGGGTGTAGCCAAATAAAAATAAAAATAAAGAGAGATTTCAGTGTCATAATTACAAATATTCAACCAATGATTTCATATGACTGAAACATCATTACGTAAAGAATTCCTCCAAAGAAAGCTAGGGTCAAACGCATTTTTTTTATTATGAGAATACAATGAATTTATGAATCAACCGAATAATTGAGAGATGTCTCTTTTCTTTCTTTTATTAACAAATATATTTCAAATTGTACAGTAGACATTTTACAATCAAACACTGCTATTAATTTATGATCGTTTATCACTCTTGATAATATAAGTGGAATACTTAAACCTTCTGCTACATGCCAATGGAGATTTTATCTTCCTTACTCTTTCACATTATTCTCTTGTCTTTAGTCTCGGGATTCTGCAGTGCTGCTGATACATTAAGCTCAAATGCCACCATCACCTATGGTGAGACTTTGGTATCCCCCGGCCAAAGCTTTGAATTAGGCTTCTTTTCCCTCGGTAATTCTGGTAAATGGTACATAGGAATATGGTACAAGAAATTACCAGAAAGAGTTTTGTGGATTGCAAACCGGGAAACCCCATTAAGGAATTCATCTGCTGTTTTAACAATTGCCCCTGATGGAGATCTTGTTCTTCTGAATGCAACGACAGGCGATGTTTTCTGGTCATCCAGTTCTTCTAAAAATGAACCAGGGACAGTGGCACAGCTATTGGAATCTGGCAACCTTGTGCTCAGAAGAGAAGATGATACCACACAAAACTATATATGGCAAAGCTTTGATTTCCCATCTGATACGCTTTTTCCAGGCATGAAATTCGGATGGAGCACCGGCACAAACAGGTATTTAACATCATGGAAAGATGACAATGATCCCTCTCCTGGAAACGTCACTCACCGACTCGAAAATATTGGGATGCCTCAATTTGTTCTTCGCAAGGGATCAGCAAGGATTTACCGGTCAGGGCCATGGAATGGAATTGAATTTAGTGGTTCCTCTAACTGGAAGACGGCTTTCAAACAAATTTTTGTTTATAATAATGAAGAACTGTACTATATGAATGAGATTGTCAACAATTCTTTTTTTATCATGATTACCGTGTATCCATCAGGTTTAGTCCAAAGTTACCTACTGAAAAAGGGGGTATCCACATCGACTGTTTTGGATTCAACACAGAATAATCGGTGCGAGCAGTATGGATTATGTGGTGCTAATAGCATTTGTAAAATCAATAGTAGTCCAATTTGTGAGTGCTTATACGGATTTGTTCCTAAATCACAGAGTGAATGGGATGTACTTTACTGGTCCAATGGATGTGTGAGGAGGATGCCATTGAGTTGCCTGACGGATCCCATTAAATTTTTAAAGCTTGGAGGTGTGCAATTGCCAGATCTCCTTCAGTTTTCACTAAACAAGAGCATGAGTCTAAAAGAGTGTCGGGCAGAATGCTTGAAGAACTGCTCTTGCGTAGCTTATGCAAATTCAGATATTCGTGAAGGTGGTAGTGGTTGTTTCATGTGGTTCGGTGAACTGATCGATATTCAAGAGTTTTCTGCAAGAAAACAACAATATATCTATATACGAATGGCAGCTGCTGAACTTAGTAAGTATATGAATTCAATTTTTTTTATCAGATTTAATAGAATGCAGCCACTGTAATTTCAGCCAGGTCCGTATATTTTAAATATTTTTCTAAGATGATCA